TCGCATACTTTTTTCTTTCCTTCTCTCCCTGAGCTACACGGCGGCTCCCAGGACCTGGTCCCATCCACCCCTGCCCCTCTGCTTGGCCATCACGGGGAGGGTTCCCTGCCCGGCCGTGGTGAGTTTCTGCTCTATCCCCTGAGCTTGCCCAGTGACAGTGCAGAGAAAGCCCTGGAGAAGGGCTCCTGGACACATCCTTCCTGCAGCCCCCGCGTCTTACGATGCCAGACAGGACTTACCGCACAGGGTGAGGCTTGGCTCACCAGCTTACATTACTTGGTGGTCCCCAGTATCCAGCTGCAGGAAGCAGGATTTGGAAAAGATTCTCATTTTCCTCTTTTCAGTGTCTTCCCAAGCGTGGGACTTGTTCTGCCCTGCTCCTTCCTCCCCACGCTGGCATGTTTTCTGGCAAAGGCTGCACCTGATGTGTCCTCTGTGGTCCTCTTGCAGAATCAAGATGATGCTGTTTATTTTTTTTATGTAAACAAGCAAATTCTCCAGAGCCCATTCAAATGAAAAGGGAACTTGGCCCAGCAGTGGGGCTTTCCAGCTCTCCTTAGTTAAGGACTGCACATCAGCCTTGTCCTTCCCAATGAGTAGAATAAACATCTAAGGGTCTCCAGGGAGCCTTGAATCGTGTGGCTTCCACAGCGACGGCTCAGGCAGAGCATCCCAGGCCACATCTTCTGCCAGACTAAGGAAGCACAACTCTGCAGAAGCGAGTGCTCCCCCCCTCCCAAAGCATTTTTGCTCCTCTCCACCCAGAGCAGTCTCTTCTCCCTTGCCAGACCCCAGCTGCTGGATGCCCCCATGTTTGGTCAGCCCCCTACACTTTGGCTGCGGCTCGCAGGGTGTCGTGGTCTTCCAGAGGCTGCCTGCCGGAACAGGCTCTGTAGGATGGGAGGCTATGCCGGTTCCAGCAGCCGTGGGTCCTGGAGAGGCACATCAGCCTGCAGGAAGGGAGCCTGGGGCAGAGCAGAGGTGAGGAGGGGGCGCAGAAGGGAAGGGAGCACCCGCGATGCTGCGGGAGAAAGGGACGATCAGCAGGAGGGCACGAGGAGTTTATACCAGCCCGGGGAGACACCGAGTCACTGGGTTGAACGCGTGCAGGGACAGCGCTGTCCTTAGGGGCTGCTGGGACCTGTCTAGCAGTGCTTTATTTTCCGTCCTGGGGTGGCTACGCAGCCTGGGTGGCCTCGAGCCAGCTCCTCCTGGGCCAAGTCGTGCTGCTGCGACGCAGGGACTCCATCTCCACAGGAGCTGAGCCAAAGCACAGCAGCTACAGGGGCCTGAGTGTGTATTTTAATCACTTGTAGGTTGGGAAGAACCTCGGCACATCCCGCCCGGGCTCCCTGAGCCTTCAGCAGCAGGAGATGTGTCTCCTCTTGCAGCTGGGGTTGAGGAGACCTGGGCATGGCCAGAGCAGTGCTCGGCGCCGGCGGGTTTCCCTCCAAGCTTTTTAAAAGGCACCCAGGGACGACCCAGCCCCAGGCACAGTGTCCCGCTCCAAAGGGGCAGAGGGTGGCTGGGGGTGAAGAAGGGCTTGAAGTGGCCCCTTGGGTAACTCACAGTGGCAAAGAGGGGGACTCTGGTGCTCCAGGGATCTGCGTGGGATCCTGCTGCTCCATGCATCCACTTACAGTCTGGAAAAAAAAAACAGGGAATGAGGAAATAAGCTTCAGCGCAGGGGCTGTGCAAGGACCTGCCGCAGGGTCTGGTGGTCTGAGAGGGTGGTGAGGAAGGGGGAGCTGAGCACCCCGGGGAGAAGCTGTCCCCAGCTTAACACAGAGATGCTGACCCCCTTTTCCTGGTCCCTGCGGGATGTGAGAGGCTTCAGGGCTGTGAAGGGAGGAAGATGTTGGAAACACAACCAAGAACTTTGAGCACCAACTTGCCCTTCCACTTCCCCCTGCCAGAGTCAGCCTCCTGCTCCGAAGCCAAGGGGCAATGCCAGCCTCATCTGCACGGGAGGGCTCGGCTGCATCCCCTTCTCCTTTCACCCCTCGCTTCCCAGCTGTAAACAGGCAGTTTTGCCGAAAAACTTGTGCTCCTCTCCATAGGAACAGCATGGAATGTGATGCAATTTCCGGCATTATTTGACATCTTGCAGCTTTCGGGTCGCAGAGGGCTGGTGGCAGCAGCAGTCACGGCCTTCCTGGTTAATGCCCCACGGAGCTCGCAAGCCATCCAACCGTCTCCAGCACATTTACATTGGCTCTGGGGCTGAAGGGCAGCTTTGCACGGAAAGCCAGTCTTTCCCTTTCCTATCGCCGCAAATCCCCTCTCCATGGGTTTGGGAGCCCTCAGGTCCATGCTTCCGCAGGGGAGGGTTTCACTTCCCTCGTGGACTCTGTGGTTTTCCCACAGATCCGTCTCGGTGAATGCAGAAGTTGCTGAGTCTCTTCAAGCTTTCTAGGTATCGACTCAGTCGATCACCCTCCCACATAACATGGAAATCCCCTCGGACGCAGCGAACGCACAGGACTTCAGCTTGAATTTGTTTGAAATTCTTCAGAAAAGGGCTAACGTGGGGAGGGGATGGAGAGGGTAACTTGACCACCTCCTTGCCTGAGCTCACAGCTGAGCTCCTCTGATGAGGCAGAGCAGCACCCTGCAAGAAAGAGCCTGCACGCAGACACCGTGATCAGGGCAAGGACGGTCCTGCTGCTCGTGGTGCTGCTCACCCTCTCCTCACGCTGCGAGGCACCTCCGCCGGTGTCCGGCGTCCAACCCCACCTGTCACAGGGTTTGGTTTTATTCTATTTTAGGAAAACCATTAGGTGGTTTTGGATTGTTGTCACTTCTGTTTCTGGTCTTTTGGCTTGGTCTACACAGAAGCAACCACCGGTGTTAATGAGGGCACAGACCCCTCCTTTGGGCTCTGATAGATCGTCTGATGTTAATTGGTTTGGAGTCCCCATTTGAGACCTCGCTTTGACCTCTGTTTGGTGCTGTCTACCACAGCATCTGGAACACCATTTCCCTCCACACACTTACTACCGCCTTTTCCAAGTCTCTTATTCCTATCCACGGCAAGAAGGCTCTGGTGAATTTAGGAAAGTTGGTTATAGTTTCACCCTTTTTTTTGGACACAGCTGGTGGTGACAAAGCCTTCCTCCCGAGAGAGTGCTGCTAGCATGTCAGGGACCAGCATCCCCAGTGTGCAAGCGCCTTGTGCTCTTCCATTTTCTTTGGCCTAAATGCCACAAAATACGCAGAGGATTCACATACCCTGTTAAACTATTAATTTTTATGATTGCCCACTCAAAACCCTAAACACTGAGTCAGAGAGTATTTCCCATCTTCACATTGTGGGTTGTTTTGTCCACTTGTCCTACCCATTTTAATTTCTATTAACGCTTCTGATGGGACCGGGGACAGGATTAACCAGCTGAGGGAAGGGGGAGCGACTGTGTGCCTCAAACGAGCCTGAGAAGGGAGCTCCGAGCTTGGCACAGGAGGATCTTCTGTGTGAGATGTTGGCTGGAAAAGGCCATTAGCTCAGCGTCTCCTTAATCACAGCCCTGCGCTTTAACCGATGTCCAGGAGGGGATATGACCCCGGTGGCGTGTTGGGCCTGGGGGCTGTACTACATGCGAGGCGCTGCAAAAGGGAAGGTGGGAGATGAGGGGGGGATGCAGAGACCACAGAAGGGGCTCAGGAGTGGTGTATCAGGGGTTCTTTTCCTGCAAAGCCCTTTCCTGGGCAAAGCCGCATCAGACACCAGCGGTGCTGTGCCCAGCTCTCTGCACGGCCACCCTGCCGGCCACCAGACCCCATGTCCTGCAGACCACATCTTCCAAACCAGAGTCATCAGCACATTTGATTTGTTTCCTTCTCCTTTCTTCTTCCAGAGAAGTTGTGCAAACATAAGAGACTCTTCAAGGAAGTCCATTTCTACCTTTCTTCTCCTCCAAGAAGCCTTGGCTTGCTTCATCCCCAAGTCCCAGCCAGGTGCCCTCCCATGCCCCCACTTACCATCGTCTCACGTGGGTTGCCACCAGGCCCTCTCCTCGCACACAGACCACAGCCGCATCTCTCCTTCCCGGGGAGCAGATCTGTGCATGGAAGCTGGGCTGATGTCCACCAGTGCTCCGTGGTGCTGCCGTCAGGGTCTGTGCCACTCACCCTTCCTGCCCTCGGGTCCTCTCTGTGGGTTATGGTAGGTTTTGTCCCATCTCCCTGCAGAAATGACCCATCCGTGCACTGATGACCACAAGTGTCCACCCATCCGACCCCCTCATTTTGATCCCATGGCTGGTGTGGGAGGCAGAGGCAATGCTTGGGCTCAGACCCAGACTCTCCTCAGAAGCCCCACTGTCCCTGCCCCATTTCTTCCCCTTCTATAAGGTGCCCTGAACCCACCAAAAGCATCTCTGCCATGCCCTGCTCTGGGGTCTCTCCTGGTTTGGTCCAGTGTGGCTTTTTCTGCCCATCCCATCCCGTCCTGTCCCATCCCACGTGCTCACTGCCTAACCCAGTGCCCTTGGCTTGGCCAGGGTGGTTGGGGAGGCTGGTTTTGGGGAGACTCGTTACTCACTTGCTTTTGACCACTGAGGGAAACCAGCTAAACCCATCAATAAGCTGTTCCTGCCTGGCTATGTTGGGTTGCCTCTCCAGCTAGAAATCAACAGGCAAGCACCAGGCGTGGTGTCTTGCTGCCACAGAAAGTTGGTTTTAATCTGATTTCACGGGTGAATTTCAGTTCCCCCGAAGCCTCCTGGAAGGCCCTCACAGCCTCACTGCTCTTCCGCAGAAAGCAGAAGTGGCTGCCCCGCTCACCGCCCTCTTCCATCGACCACTGGACGTGCCCCCAAAATAAAGAATGACAGAAATCCCCTTGTCCCTGGGAAGAGGCTTCTTGGAGCACGTCCAAAATTTTTGGAAAAAGCGGTTAAAGTGGGTGGCATGCAGAGGATAAATGGGGCGAGAGCCAGAGCCACCGACACAGAGCAAGCTGACACGGAGCAGGACAGAAGAAGAGCGCTCACACAGCCACCATGCTCGCTGCCAGGACGGTCCTGCTGCTCGCCCTGCTCCTCGCCTTCGCCCTGCGCCACGCCACAGGTACCGCACCTCCTGGGTCCTCACCCGGTACCTCCCGCTGGGGAGCTCAGGCCAGGGACCCCAGCGGGGACGGTGCTGCTGGCAGGAGCAGCAACCCCCGTCCCGGGGTGCAGGGGAGGATGGGGAAGGGTGGAGGGGGTGCGGGTGGCCTCATCAAAGCTGACCCTGGGGAGATGCTGCAGGAACTTGGGAGAGACTGCGGCAGCTGCCCCCCAGCCTCAGCTGGATGAGCAAGTGCTTGGGGAGAGGGGGAGGGAGCGTGTGCAGCTGTTTGGAGCCCCCCAAAGCACCCTGTAAGCGGGAAACCCACAAAACCGCGTCCCCAGACCGAGCGCCCTGATCTCACCGTGCACTCTGGCAGCTGCTGCACGTTTCCCAGTCCTGCGCTTGCTGCCGTGAAGGGCAACGCATCCCTGCCGCGGGATGCTGCGGGAGCTGCCGAGCTCCACGGCCTCACCTCCCCGTCGGATATCCTGCGGTGTCTCTGTCTGCCCACGTGAAATGCCACCGAGGGTGCTCACGACTCTCTCCCTTTCGCAGCCCACTTCACGCCCATCGAATGCTGCTCGAAGCACGCCCAGAAACCCGTCCGACACGTGCAGAGCTTCTACGAGACGCCCAGGGACTGCGCCTTTCCCGCAGTTGTGTGAGTATCCCGGCGTTTGTCCCCCACCCTTTGCCCAGCATCACGGGTGGGAGCCGCAGCAGCTGCCCCCATCCCAGCTGGGAGCACTCTCCGGGCGGGACTGGGGTAGGAAAGTAGCTCTGTGGGGTGGGCAGATGGGGGAAAATTCCAGTTTTCTAATTCTCATCGCGGATGCCAGTGGTCTGGGAAGAGTCAGACGTGCACTGTCAGCCCGAGGAGGGCAAGGGCTGCTGGAGCCGGCTCCACAGCTCCATCCGGGATGGAGCTGCACACAGGGAGGGGAGGAGCAGCGCATGGAAAGGGAACGGCTCACGGTTCATGTTTTCACTCTCTTCCCTCACTTCGTCGCTGCAGGCTTGTGGCTGGCACCGGTGACAAGATCTGCGCCAACCCTAAGAAGTCCTGGGTGAAGAAAGTCATAAAAAAGCTTCAAAGGGAAAAATGAAATCCTCCTCCTGCCATCCCCCATCCCACTCGCCCATCCAGCCCGCCCGTCTCTGGAGGGAGCAGATGGCACCCGCAGCACTTCTCCAAAGGGTGCTGGGGTGGTGGGTGCCACCACTGCAGCTGGAGCCAGCCCGGACCCCGGCTGGGTGTCACAGCCGCACGGGCCAGCCGGCCACCAAGTCCCTCTCATTGTCACCACCTGCCAGGACGTGCCCGGTGGAGCCAATATTTGTAATAAAGACTCATTGCCACAATGAATTTTGAATTAATTTTGAATTTGAATTTTTTTCTGATTCTTCAACCCGAGGAGCAAATCCTACAAGCCCAGGGCACGGTGCGACCAAAGATCCCCTCTGCCACCGGCACGTGTTCCTCCAGGCTTGGAGCAAACCGTGCCTGGTCACAGCGTGCTCCACTGGGAACTGAGAGTGGGGCCAGGTCTCGAGGGACCCATAGGTGAGGCTACCCCTACCCACAGGTAAGGCTACACGACCCCACAGCGTGCTCTCAGCCCCACAGGCTTTGCAGCTGCTCCAGAATTAGGTGGTCGGATGCAGAGGGTGCGGGGAGAAGATACCCACGTGCCCAACCTCTAGTACCTTGTCAGCTTCCAAATCCGCTGGCGCCACTGCGAAGGAAGGGAGGGAGATGAAACACCACGTCTGCAGTGCCAGGAGGGCGAGGACACAATCCCTTCATCCGGGCAGGAGCATGGTCCTGGCTGCCGACCCCGCGCAGGGCTGGGGAGGATGGGAGCAGCACGGCTCCATCATTTCACGCCGGAGGGGCGAGGTGTCCACGGGAAAACCGCGGGAAGGTGAGGGCAAGGACCATGGTAAACGCCGGGGTCTGCCCTCGCCTACAGCTCACCATCAGAACACGGGGCAGGGCTGGGGTTTGTAGGATACCCAGTGTAGGCAGGGGACAGGAAAAAACACCCCAAATGACACTGTTGCCCACGGATCACCACTGGATGAAGCGAGGGTGGAAAGGAAAGCTGAGGCAGAATCAGGCTTGGGAAAAAGCACCGCATGGACTGTGCCTGGCTGTCTGTAGGCACAGAGTCCCAGGGTTACACCTTCACAGCTCATAACTCCGAGGGCTGCGACGGCCACGGCGTCTTCTGGAAGGAAAACCAGATGTGCGAGCAGCCGGGCAAGGTGTAAGCTTGGGTAGAGACACCCCCAGCCTGTGTCTCGTGAACTCTCTGAACACCTCGCTCACGAAACCAAGCAGCCTTCCCCAAACACTCAAATTTGAGGGTTACAAAGATTATTTCCTCTTTTTTTTTTTTTTTATAAAACACCACTGAAAAACCCAACCAGGTAGCCCCACCTACAGAACATGGCAACGGACAACACGATGCTCGAGAAAAAGCAGCTCTTGCCACGGCAAGCGTGGGCTGGAAGAACCCCTTGCCCACCGTTTCTATTTCTCCCACTGTGGGACAAGCTGTTTTATTGAAAGATTTTGGAGAATTGCCATCATGTGCTGTGACAATGAGACAATCTCACAGCAGAAACACATATAGGGGTTGGCAGTGGCTGCATCACATACTGCCCCACAGACACCCTGTAAGCTGAGCTGGGCAGGGCTTCCCGCAAAGTCTTCCCGCAAAGTCAAGGAAATCACTTGTTTCCCTCTATTAATTGTACGTGAGACATCAATCTCCAAGCCAAGACCCTGCCCTGAGCCACCAAGGGACCTGTGTAACGACAGGGACACATTTCTGCTGGCATCTGCCCACCCCCAGGCAGGGAAAACTCACCCTGGAGCCAGCTCATCCCTGTAGGGCAGATCCCAGCTCCTGCCTCCGAGCGGTCAGTCCCAGGGCTGATGCTGCACTGACCACCCCACCGCCCAGCCCGCAGGCAGGCAGCCTCGCCCCGGCAGCGCCGGACCCCATCCCGGGTCGGAGGGGACACAAGCCTAAGTCCAGCGAGCAGAGACGGACAAAGCACAGGGCTCTCGCACATGGATGTGTATTTTAATAAAAATAATTCTGTCAATATACAGCAGAACGTCGATTTCTTTACCATATTTCCCGTATATTTTCATAGGCTTTTTCTCAGTTAAAATCCCCCCCTTCCCCCGTTTGAAGTTCTCATGCGAAGCGTCAGGTAACTGAATCCACACGTACTAAGCTTAGACCGAACCGATGTGCACAACTTGCGTAACGCCCGTTTAGCCGACGTCGTCCCGGAGAGGAGAACCTCCCCGGCGGCAGCGGGAGATCCGCTCTGCCGCAGCCCCGCGGCGGACGCTCCCCCAGGGCTGGCTGGGAACCTGCCGAGGCCTCGCACCCCCCGGCTCCCGCGGAGCATTTCATACCTGAGTTTTGAGGGACCAGCAGAAGAGTTAACGGCGGGGGGGGGGGG